TCATATGACCCAGATCTACATGCGTTTGTTCATGCGTCTCGGCTAGATGATGATTGGTTTGGGCTAGAAAGAATTAGAAACATGCATTGTCAACCATCAAACTTGTACATTCCAGAGATTACTCATCGATACTTTCAGGTAGTAGGAAACAGCAGCAGAAACCCAATTTTAGCAAGAGCGCACGGAAACCTGGACGGACTAACCTTCTCACATTTTGGCATTTCACCCTTTGTTCGCCTCCCTGACCACACGAAAAAAAAAACAGGCAATTGCGTACCTGGCTCATGGTACCATGGTAAACAATGAAGTTGAGGCTAGCACACGAGGCGAACGTTCAAGATTGTCCGACGACTGACACTGACTGACACGCGTCCGGTCAGGCTAATGAGAGCAAGTAGAGTACAGAGTACAGAGTGATAGAGCCTCCATAGACAAAGAGCAAAGCCGATAGAGCAGAAGCTGCTGGAACCGAACCATTTGTATTTATGCAACTGTGTGGAATCTAGACGTGAGCTTCCTCCTGACTCAGTTCTCTCCCCTCCACCCCGTGCAGTTGGCTCAAGACCCCGGCTTAGGAGGGGTGAGCTGTTCCATCATCATTTTCCTGCTGCTGATGAGCACTGGGACTGTTGTCATGATCATGTGATCTTCAATGCTCCTGCGACTAGACAGCACAGGCTTGCAGACTCAGGCGGCGACGGCTGCTGAACAATGAGCTGGGGACCTCAGCTGGGAAATGAGGATTTCAAGGTGTGAGTTGCCTCCACCGCTCACCCCCCTTCCCCCCAATGCAACTCAGCGCCAGCACAGAACAACTGGCTAGAATCATCGCTCTGCTGCTGTGCTGGCACGCCAGCGACCGGCCTCCGAGAATCGCCAGTCAGACTGCGAGAAGGAGCTTGAGGCTGGGAATGGAGGTTGCAAACGTTCCTGATTCTCTGCCACCTTCCCCTTGGCCCCTGGCAGTTTTAGCTCATGCCCGCTGCAGGTTTCCGCCACATAGCCGTTCATGGATTCAGCCCTTGGATGCGGTGATATGTCCAGTGCTTCCCGCATATTGACGACCGCTGTTCACACAGCGGCCTAAAGCCCTCGGAACAGAACTTTCTTGGCCCCCAGCGGCATGATATCCTGGCGAGCACACTCCTGATTCGGCTTGCAGCATGCTCGTAACTTGTTTGAAGGCCCCTAACCTTGGCGCTGTGTTTGGGTACTTACAGTACGGTGAATGCATGACCAGAACCGCATCCGACAAACCGACCGACCTGGGTGAAGCTCCAGTTCCCGTCATATTCTTGCCTCGGAGAACCGACACTAAAGCACATCCTTCTTTGGAAGCACGTCTCCAAGCGCCAGACAGGATACTTGCATCACTGGACTTCTGGCAGTCCTGCGAAGAGAGGCACGGCCCGCCCTAGCTACTATACTTGGAAGATTTGAAACTACCATCGCCCACCTGTGTGGAAAGCTCGCTGCTCGAACCAATCCAATCCTGCGAAGCCAAAAAGAGAGCCTGGAGCAAAACTACGCAGGACGATTGAAGCCGGCCTCGTCATCGTCAGTACTGTCCATGCTATGCGAAACCAGCAATGCCTCTGCACCTTCAAGCGGAAGCTCCTCGAGAAAGTCACAAAGCAAGTCGGCAAACCCATAGTTGTTGCTGCACGCATCTCATGTTCCTCTTCCCGCGTCGCGTCTGCATGCGAAGGTATTACCCCCCTTGTCTGCGACGCCGCCTCCTCTCAGTGCCAAGATATAACTCGACAACCTTATGCTCAGCTGGAACCCCGCCTCTCTGTGGCCAGAGTCAGCAGGCAGAATGGAGTAAGAGGCTTTGGGACTCCCGGAATACTCTTGGGCGACGTCTGGCAGCTGGTGGCAAAGGCGGTGGAGTTGGGCGGTTGGGGTTCAGGAATGGATTTGACAGTTCAGGGAATGTAGATGAAGTACGGCACATGCCAGAGCGCGACAGTACGCTGCACAAGTCAGCAAGCGGACCTGCATGTGGAGACTTCGAAAGGCTACGATCTGCGTGTGTTCAAAGCGGCGAGACATGTTATTCTGTCCTGCGCGCAGCTTCATATATGAGGCAGGTATGGCGCTACTGCGCAGAAATCTCGGCAGATTGAAATAACCCATCTGGGCCTGCTGATCGCCCGTCGTCTGCTGACTGGAATAAGGACTGAAGCCTGCCACACTGCTAATGCACATCATGAATTCTCAAGTTGAGTGGGCTGGGCGAGGACTACGGTGTACTTACACAGATAACAGCTAAGCCGTAGATGGGTCTGTCGTGCTTACTTTCACATGCCATCTCGAAGCATCTCCGCTTTAGCATGACTGCCCCAAACCATATCGCAAGGCTGGCTTGGCTCCCGTGTCATTGCAGCAGTGAAAGCGCAGGCTGACCCAGCCCCTGCCACGACAGCGGAACGCCAAACTCCCATAAGATCGGAACCTCACAACTTCGACAATCGTACAAGCCCCCCACCAGGCCTGGCCAAAAGCTCCACCTTGCATCATGGGATTTGGCGCAAGCAACGCGATTGTGATCCGCTGCTTTGTCAGAAGCACGGGTGCCTTCGTCTGCGCCAGAACCTCGTCCACCACGTCCTTTATCTCGCCCTGGGTCATTTCAGAGACTTTCTTAGGCTCGCTGGTGCAAGAATGTGATTGTGATCTGCTGCTTCGTCAGACACGGGCCTTCGCCTGTGCCAGAACCTCGTCAATCACCTCCCTTACCTCGGCCTGGCATGACGGGGCTTACAGAAAGAGTCAATCGGCTCCAAGAAAGGCCCATGTGTACGAGTTGTGGACGGCAGACTCTCCACTCTCTCGAGCTGCTTGGCTAAAAGATGCCAGTATACGATTCCAGTGCTGTCACATTGAGACTAGGTTCCCACAATCAATATCAGGCTTTCACGAACAGGAACCTGCAGATTCTTGGACTTCGACGCCATGGCCAAGTCAATATTGTCTCGCTTCGAAGCAGAAACAGTAGCCCACGCCGGGCGGGCTGAGAGCCAATAGGCTCGGCGACGACAAGCACAATGAAGCCGGAATCCAGATTGATGCACAGTGCTGCCGGGCAATCCTACTGCCAACTATCTCATCCCAGCATCGGACCGGCTGGGTAGAAATGGCTCGAAACATGAATCTCATGTCATGAAGAGCATCTTCCTCTGCGACTACCGCCAGCCATCGCAAGTCTGCTATATAAGCATACTCGGCCCAAAGTGGGGTACTTTGGATCATGTCTCATGTATCATGTAGCATGTATGTACCATGGATCATGTATCTTGGATTCATAATTAGCAAATTTACCACGGACCCAAGATGGAATGCAAATTTATTATTCCAGTCGCTTCCACGTCATAGATTTGAAGCGACTGGAACCATTTTTGCAAACAAGTTCATAAGCTCCACGAATTTGAACCGCAGTGAACACTTGGGAGTTCAGTGGCATGCTCCACCATAGTTCGGCGAAGGGGGGCTTGAGAAGGGGGGGCTTCTCGAAGGGGGTTTGCAGGGGAGGACTTCAAAGGAGGCTTAAAGAGGGCCGCTCTTCAAGGAGGACAAAGCGAGGACATTCGCAAATGGGGGCCCCCGCTCTCTGAAAAACATAATACGTTTTCGTTCTCGACCTTCTGCCGCGAAGGAAACAAAACGTCTTCTCCACAGACGAGAAAGAGAAAGCCACACGCAATCGCTTCCGCCTTTAAGCGAAGATTAAAATTAATTAAATACAAAACGTAAAACGCCTTCTCCCACAGACAACAAGAACGAAAAAACTTCTTCTTGACACGAAATCGCTTCACGGGGTTTAAAAGCGATGAAAATAAATTAAATACAAAATAAAATGCCCTGCTTTTCCACATACAAAAAAATCCACGCGCAATCGCTTCGGGGGGCTTTAAGCGAAAAAATACAAGGCAAAACACTTCTCCAACAAGAATAAAAGAACGTTTTCGTTGCACACAACACAGAAAAAGCCACACGAAATCGCTTCAGGAGGTTTAAAAGCGATGAAAATAAATTAAATGCAAGCAAAACGCCAATTAAATATAAATTCCACGCGCAGTTTGCTTTGGGGGCTTTAAGCGAAGAAAGACAAGGTAAAACATCTTCTCCAACATACTACAAGAATAACAGAACGTTTTCGTTGCACAACAAGAAAAAAGCCACACGAAATCGCTTCAGGGGGTTAAAAGTGATGAAAATAAAGTAAATACAAGCAAAAACGCTTTACTTCACCACAAAAGAAGCAGAAGCCACACAACAGACAACACGACACGAAAGCGCTTCAAGGGGCGTTCAAAGTGATAAAACAAAGAGAAGCAAGTACATACCTTCATAATAACAAGAAAGCCACACGAAAGTTTGGAGAAGCAGGGCTCGAGAAGGGGAGGCTTCTCAAAGGAGGCTTGAGAAGCCTCTGGGGGGAGGGAGCGCCCGAAGCCCACTGAGTTATCGAAATCAGGGTTTCAGCCTGCTCTTTAGTCTCAGGTTGGCTTGCGGTTTGGAAAACAAAAAAAGCAAAATGCGTCCGTACAAGCACCAGGAAGGACTGGACTCAACTCCGCAAACACGTCGAACCTGGTTGAACCTGATTCCTTCACGGGCTTTGTTCGCATTCCTGAGCAAGAAAAATTGCAAGTCACCGTATCTCTCTCTAGGGAGGGTGTTGTCAGCTCCTGCTCTGTGGTAGCTACACCCCTTGTTTCGAGACTAGGGGTAGAATTCGCTACTTTGAGGGCCTGTCGATATTGCAGGCTCGAAGCCGTAGGGTCTGTAATCTTAGGGGCTCCAAAGTGCTTGCAAATCGGGCGCGCGTTGCTTCGGAAGCACTTTGAGGGTCCGCGCGGGCTCGCGAGCTGTTTGGAAGCACTGCGTCGTGCTCCGGAGCTATTTGAGAGCGACGCGTGCTTGCGCGAGAGCCGGAGCTGCTTGCGAGTGGCTCGTAAGCTGCTGGCAGGCTGCCGGCAAGTAGCTCGCGAGCTGCTGGTGTGCTGCTGATAAGTAGCTCGTGAGCTGCCGGCAAGTAGCTCGCGAGCTGGTGTGCTGCTGATAAGTAGCTCGTGAGCGCCGGCAAGTAGTTCGTGGGGCCGGCAAATAGCTCGTCGGCTGTCGGTACACAGCTCGTGAGCTGCTGGCAAGGCTCGTACGCTTGCAGCACATGCAGCTCGTAAGCTTGCAGCACACGTAGTTCGTGAGCTGCTGGCAAGTGCTCGTGAGCTTGCAGCACAGGTATCTCGTGAGCTGCTGGCAAGTGCTCGTAAGCTTGCAGCACATGCAGCTCGTGAGCTGCTGGCAAGTGCTCGTAAGCTTGCAGCACAGGTATCTCCTAAGCTGCTGGCAAGTGCTCGTAAGCTGCTCCGAAGCCACTCGTCGGCTGCTCGCAGGTACCGCGCCCCTTAAAGCACTTCTAAATCCCGTTTTGCAAACACTTTAGAGCCCCTAAGATCCTTCGAGCTGCGGGCCGTAGGCCCGCGAATCGACAGTGCTCCAAAGTACCGAATTCTGACCTATGTCTCGAAACAA